GGCTAGAGCCATCACTCACAGTATAGGTACAACGTGCTAGAGGTTGTGCTCATCCCATCCTGGAAGATGGTGAGGCCCTACCTAGCTGGGTGGGGACTTGGTCACTGGAGGCGGGGGGGGGGGGGTTGGCAAGAACAGGAAAGTGCTGGGTGGGGGCACATCTAATCCATGTCCCCCTTGAGGGCTAACCTAGCACCAGGTCCTGAAGGTCCCAAGCCAATAGCCCTAGCCACGCTCACCCATGAAGCCTAAAGGGGTACAGTAGGGGCATCTGTTCTAGGCCTGCCCAATTCCTAGTCCAGAACAGAGAGCACTGAGGCCCTAGATTCAAGAGGAGGTGCTTTGGAAGTTGTTGCAGACAGAAGTCCCCCCAAGTCACTTGTCAGACACAGCACCTACGGGGAAAGGCCTAGGCCCAGGCCTGCTTAAAGCCAGTTCTGCCTGGGCCCATGAACTCCAGCCTCTCACTCCACCCCTGCCTCACTCACAGCATCTAGAGTACCACAGCGGGTGGTCAGAGCTCAGCCCTGGCTCACAAGGCCAAAACCTTGGTATTAAGAAGAGGCCTCTGTCGTCCCCTTGCCCACCCAGACTGTACCATGACCCTAGCAGGAGTGAAAGGGCTAAGATGGTGCTGAGGGAGAGAATGAAGACTCTCACTTCTCACTTCTTTAGCCCCATCTCCCCTCAGAAGAGCCTCCTTTCCCTTGAAGGACTCAGAGAATCCCCTGCCCGGGGCTCCAAAAGGGCCTCCCAACCCCACTCCACTGCTGGGTTCACAAGCAAAGAAGCTGTGCCTGAGACCCAGCCTCACCAGCCCTGCCCTAAGCATCTTCCAGACCCATCCTCATGATCCCCTCCAAGACCACCCTGGGGAGATGACCCCCTCTATCAGTCCTAGGGCCACTGGGAAAGACACAGGGAGCTGGGCCCAGGTCCCCTGCTCAGATACTTGCAGACTCTGTGCCCTAAATAACTCCTGTAGCCTCTCCAGGCCTGCACCAGGCCCTGTACCAATTACTCTATATGCATCATCTCATTCCAAGCTCACGTCAACTCTCATCAACCCTTGAGCAGAGAAACCTGATTTCAAGAGTCCACGACCTAGTCCAAGGTCATGGAGCTGGCAAATGCAGGCCAAAGATTAGAGCTACATCTGCAGGACTCTGTGCTTGGGCTCATAATTACAATGTCTGTAAAATGAGGAGATCCTTAGCTGTATTCTAACCTCCAGGAGCCACTCTCCTTGCCATACTCTACCTAGCCAGGTGACCAGTGTTACAGGCTGCAATTAAGTAAAGTTCTCAGTGATGACAAATTCAAGAGCTTCTAGGTACGGGCCAGGGTCCTGGGCCCAGAACTATATGACCTAAGCCAGAACTACATGGCTAGATCAGCCACCTCCAGGACTCCCTGGGCTCCACATGTTATCAGTGAGGTCTTAACCAGGCCTATAGGGAGCCTATGGTATGACGTGGCTAGATGGCTGGCTGCCCTCTGCCCAGGAAACAGGGTGGGTCAGAGCTGGAGCAGGGCTGCCCCCTCTCAACATGGGTCTAGTGACTCACCTGGAGCCGTCAGCAGCTTCCTGCCCACAGGTGCAGTGGGCGTCAGCCTTGCCCACCAGCAAGCCCCGGGAGGCTCCCACTCCAGCCTAGGCAGGCAGGGGACCCAAGAGAATGTAGCCCCACCCCAAGCTTTCATGAGAACACAGCCTCAGGCAGAAAGAAACTCAGACCTATTCCAGTCAGAAGAGTTTCTCATTGAAGGGGCAGCCAAGCTGAGTGAGGGTCCCCCTTGGGCCCAAACTCATAGGCCCAGCCTGAAACCCAGAGCCAGAAGCCCCTCCTTCCCTGCTTCCGGGTACAGCAGGCTCTACCCACACTGACTCCACCCCTTGACCCCTTGCTCCCTGGGACACTCGGAGTTTAGCAAGGCTAAGCCTGTTTCCCCATCTGTAAAGCAGAGAGAACCGGGAGTCCAACCTTACAGAGGAGTAAGAAGATGAAATTCTGAGCATAAGAAGCTTAACAGGGGCCCTGGTCATATCCTGTACCCACAGGTCTTTGCTGTTGGGCCCTCCGGGTCACCCACACGGCAGTGAGGGGTCACTGACCTTCAGGGCACACTTCTGCCCGGTGCGCCGGTGGAAGCACTCCAGCACCTTGCCGTTCACACCCAAGCCCAGCACCTGCTTGGACAACTGGTAGTCATCGGTCACTGCGTACTTCTTGGGCTCCCGCCGCCCCACAAGGGCGGGAGTGCCGGCTGAGCAAGGTTCGCAGGGTGCACCTGGTGGGGGCGCAGGGCCCCCCTGCTCCTCTGCTGTCTCGACATCCATGGCCCCCGCGGGGCGCTCAGAGGAGGCCCCAGCCTGGCGCGTCCAGGGCCACCTGGGAAAGAGAGGCAGAGTGAGTTCCGTTCAGACTTCTTCAGTACACCCCAGCCTTGGAGGCCCTGAGCCAGAGTGGGCTTCGGGTGGGGGACAGGGCTGGGAATGAGGAACGAACTGCCGCAGTGTACGGACCCGCGGCAGGGGGAGGTGGTCACGCAGCGGGGCACAGGCGAGTCCTGCCCGGCCACCTGTCAAGAGGGGAAAGGGCCGCGAGGTCCCGGGAATGGGAGGTGGAGCGGGCCCAGGGAGGGCGTACCTGGCGAGGGCGCACCTGACGGCAGCGCACCTGGCTGCAGCGCCGGTAAGGGGCAGGCGCGGCGGTCGCCGAAGCCCGCGGCCGCGAGCGCCCAGAGCTGAGAGTCACCCCGCCGCCTGCCCACGTGACTGCTCCCCTCCCCCGCGCGTCCCCGGCTTGAGGCCGGGCTTGGTCAGCCTTAAAGGGCCAGGCGGGCCCTGGCAGGACGGGGCGGGGCGGGGCGAGGCCCGCCTAGAGCTGAAGCAGAAATAGGGGGCGTGGCTTCTCCAGGGTGCAGAAATCTCCTAGGCTCCGCCAGCCTCCGGGGAGACCCCAGCGCTAGCGCAGCCGGGTTCCGCGTGGGCTGTGCGAGCCGCGGATTTTACCAGCCACCAAGGAAGTGGCAGCACAGGAAGTCTTGTTTTTCTTGGAGTCTCAGGTAGCCCCTTGAGTCGGGTGTTTTCTCTGCACGCTGCCAGGAGGCCCTCCAGTATAATCTGTAAGGCTTGCAACTTCCTTAGTGGTGGCCCACCGCGAGCGTATCTAAAGTCTTAATTTTTGCCAACAGCGCAAGAGTGAAATAGAATTTTGTTGTGATTCGTGTCTCTCTAGCTCCTGGTGGCTCTGCGCGTCTCTCTAGCACTGGCATCTCTACCCTTCTGTGCATCTCCTGCTCATATTCCCTTGGAATACAGCGTCCTAAGACCAGAAATCCTGAATTCCCCTTTGGTCAGATCCATCAACTCTTCACCTTATGGTTAGAGCTTTTGGTGTCATGTTTAAAAAGTCTCCTCCTCCTACCACAGTGACAGATATTCTTTATTAGCTAAGTGGTTTTCCCTTCCACATTTAGGTCTCTACTCTGAGCCCATCTTAGATTACCTTACATATTGCGAACGGGTTTTCCCATCACAGACTGTTAACTCTTATTTCACAGATGAGGAAGCTGAGAACCCACTAGAGGAAACAACTTGTCTAGAGCTGCAGAGTGTGTGGCTGTCTCCTTGGACAAATCTGCACTACTCCTGCACTTCCCTCTCGCCCCACAGCCCCGAAAGAGGTGGCTCACTTGGGACAGGGAACATGCGATTTGGGGCAAGATCCCTCTGCGAGCCTCTGCTGCCATCTACAGGCCACTAGCAGGACTGCAGGAACCGCAGCCTCTCTCCCACCCGTAGGTAACTCCTCTGTATACCTAAGTATCAAAAGGTATCTTCTGGCTTCGGAATTGGGGCCCAGCGAGCTCCCTGCCCTTAAGCCCCAACACACACATGCATGTGGATGCACGTGGATGACTGGGCAGAAGTTCCAGGAGAACAGGCACCCTCTGTGTGCAGGCATTGAGCTGGATGAGGGTGTGAGGGGCTCTTCCCTCTCTCCTTGAGGCGACCTTCAAGCTAGGAAGGTTCAGTAAAGCAGAAGCCCAGTTGACAGCCTCAACCAAGCGTACTGAGCTCTTCTTTCGGACCAGACACTGGGTAGATGCTCTATCTGGGCACCCCATGATCGCACTGGGACTGGAGGAGGGAAGGCAGTACCAATCCTGTGCAGCCTACACCAGACACACGAGTGACAAGCCCTGAGAGGTCAAGAGACCTGCCTGAGGTAAGTAGCTACCATGGTACAGCCCCTATCCCAACCCCCAAAGAACAACTCCAGGGCCCAGCTCTCACCCTCAAACTATGCCTTCCTCTCCTGTGCCTCCCTGCCCCACTCCCACATCCACATGTACACATTCTCACACATGTTCACACACATGCAATCACACCTTTACACATGTGCACATATGCACACAGAGATACATAGGCATACACATGCACACAACACACACACATTTATGCCTAGCTGGAGCCAGGACCTCTGTCCTTGAGCCCCACCTGAGAATCTGATCCAAGATCTCAGAGCCTTGCAGGAAGCCCTGTGATCCAGAAGCTACCACTGCTTGAAGGCTTGGACACTAGAGAAGGATTCTCCTTCTCCTATGGAGACGACTGGTTTGAGCCAGGTGAACCCAAAGCTGAGCAAGATCTCATTCTGGACAAGCAAGGCCCCACTCATAAGCAGGGGTCTAGAGAGCTGAGGGTGGAGGCTGGCCACTTGTCGTAGCCAAGGTCATCTCTGCGTGCTGTGATCTCTGAGCTATCTTATTTTCTAAAAATGGAGTTAGATTACAATTGTTCTAACATTTTTGTATTTTTTTTGACCACAAAAAATCTATATTTTTATATTGGAGGGAGGGAGTAGAAAAGAAAGTAGCCCCTATACTGGGCCCTATTCAGTGGCAGCTTTTTGTGCCATAGGGTTAAGGAAGACTTTGAGGAAATAAAAGTTGTTTCGACAAATCCAGGTGTAGTTGCTTTGTATATTGTGATGGGTAGAAGGGACGAAGTGAAGGGTGAAGGCCCCTCACACGCTCCATATTGCCTCAGACTATGTCCTGGAAACTTGAGGTGGAGAAAGCGCCACTTTCATTCCTACTTCTTGGGACTGTTGATGGCCATGTAGTGACAGAGAACGACAAGCAGGTTGGCGAAGATGGCCAGCTGCACATCCATGATCATGGCTGATCAGCTGGGCTTGGCTCCGACGTGGCCTGCGCACTGTATCTGTATTTTTTAAACTGGTCTCTCTTTATTAAAAATTTTAATTGCATAAGCAAAACTTGCTTGTTATAATAAATTCGAACCATATAGAAATGTAAAAAGTAAGGAATGACAATGTCTCTCCTCTTGCAGTGTCCATACCAAGGCCAGTGCTTACACAAACACACACGTTCCCCACACGGGTTCATCATAGACATGTGTTTTGCAGCTGACCCAGGGGAGTCAGAATGCATGGTTTCCCCTCGCTGCTCATGTTCCAGCAAGCATCTGCCACCTGCAAATTGATGGGAGGATTCAGTATTGGGGATGGCTGGGCCAGGGCAGGTGGGTACATGGTGGCAAACTCTGCCACACAGCTCTCCATGAGAGCTGTATGTCCAAGGGGATGAGGGCTGAGAACTTTGGAACAGCTTACAGTGACCAAGGAATCCAGTGAGTGCCTGGGTGGGGTGGTGGGGCAGCTGAAACCACTCTCTCAACACACACACACACACACACACACACACATACACACACATGTAGACATGTGGACTATTCTTTGGGGAGAGGAGAGGCTGCACATATGAAAGTTTACAGACTAAATGAGCCAGACCTTGAGGAAGGCACTGCTGTATATTATTGTGACCCATTTTGTGTCTGTTCTGGGTGGGGAAGGGCAGAGAGATCCTGCAGCAAGAATCTCGGGTGCACGGGAGGGGTTTTTCTGGAAGGAAGAATCCATGGAGATGTGGCACATGAAACTATGAGAGGAATTGCCACTGGGTGGCAGTGTGGGCCCAGCAATCAGGGCAGGAGAGGTGACAATTAGATGGCCAGAGGCAGGCACCTCAGGTAAAACAAAGGCACACCACTCTTCCCAGTATTCAGGGGAGGTGCATAGTGCTGTCAAATTTACAAAGGGCAGTTGGAGGGCAAAACCCTTGGGTCCTTTAGTTTACACACAGAACTGCACAATCACTGACTTCTGTAGGGGGCGCTTTCAAGGGGACACCTGTGGTGCCCTGATGTTGACTGTCCTGAAGGCAGGGAAGCTTCACTGAGGACCTGAAAGTTGGATCCTGAAGGATGTCTAGGAGTTGGCTTGTAATAGGAGCCTAGAGAGGAAGTGGGGGATGGGGTTGGGCCTGTGAGATCTAGGGTATATTTTACCCTCTCTATGCCTCATTTTTATCACCTGTAAAGAGGGGACAATATGTAGTAGTTAGGCAATGAAATGGGGCTGGAAATTGCTGAGAGCATCTGGCACATAGTAAGCATTCAGTAAAGTAATCATAGTTAGAGGGAAAGGGCAATCTCGGGGTAGAGAGCTTGGGATTTGTCGCCAGGGGGACCAAGGTTCAAATCCAGCTCTGTTGCTTGGCAGCTGTGAAGCCCCTTTGTCTTCATTAGTAATGTGGAGCAGTAGACAGTTCCTACTGGAGGAACGGCACCTATACAGGGGCTCCATGCTGGGCTCTCCAGGTGCCCCAGCCATCGAAGTGGCAATGAGGTCTCTACACCCATCTCCACCCCATGCAAGCAGCTTCTGGCCTACTCAGGAGGACTGGTGGGGCAACACTGAAGCTCAACTTCCCTTCAGGAAATTTACAGAGAAGTGGGTTTCCTGAAGTCATTTCTCATCTTAACCAGTTTATTTTGTCATTTTGTCCTGTTTCACGGGGTTTTGCTTTTGGACCCCTCTGTCTTCCATCCCCTCCCAGGCAGGGCAAGCTCAGCCCTGTCTGCCTTGGGAAAACCTGGATACTGCCATTTAGGCTTCTGGACCCTGCCAGGAGTCTGTCATCCCTGCTAGGGGATCTGAAGCTTACCTTCTTTCTGGGGAACCTGGGGGTACACACCGGTAAGTTGGAAGGGGGGAGTGGACCCTGCCACTTCTCCAATTCTCTCCCTCTCCTTCTGGTCCAAGGGCTTAGAGGAGGTGTGTGCAGCCCCTAGGGTCTTTCAAGATGTTCCCTGGTGAGTCCAGTGAACTGGGAAAAGGTGGAGAGGATCAAGGGTAGGAGCATGGGCTTCTGACTTTTGTTCCCTGGGGCTCGGCATAATGGGGGTAATACCAGCTGTTGAGAATCAAATGTATCAAGTGCTCCATGTAGATGGGAGGGGGTGTCACTGATCCTTCTCTCTACCGTTACCCCCCACCTTCAGTTTATCTCTGGGTGTTTGGAGCTCCAGGTCTCTCTCCCACATTTTTAGGGAACCCACCAACCCAGAGACACATGTGAACTGTCCTGTGGGGTGAGCTGGGGGCCTGCCTGCCCCTCAAGTCGGTAGTCATTTCTTCCCTGATTGGAGGGCCGGCCAGAGGACAGGCTGGGGCCGAGACTGGATGGCCCTGCCTGGTGCAAAGGTTGGGATGGTGCCTTCTCCCCCAGCTCTCAGTGAAAACGTTCTCGCCTGGATCCTCTTGGCTGTGGTGGCCGCAGGCTTGACCCCCGTGAAGCTGCGCGTATCTGAGTACTCCCTCTGTACCCCTTCCCTCCCCTAATGTCCCTCTCCAAACCACACCCTTTGCCACCCACCTCCCCAGAAACAGAGTCCAGGGGTCCAAGTGCAGCCCACAGGGGGCCCCCGCACACCAGACAGACCGCCTTGGAGGAGCCGCTAGCTGGGCGGACAGGCCGGTGACCGCGCCCTCGTGCTGCCACCGGTTCTACAGAGAGATAAGGGGGCCTGTTCCCAACGAAGCGGAGTGCCCGAAAGAAATCTGGGCTCCGGTAGGTAGAGCACCTGCACCTCCCTAGCCCTCTTCAACCTGGACTTTCCCTAATGTTCTCTAGGTCACTCTCAACCCGGCTTGGTCACGTCAGCCTCGGGTCCAAGCGCTGTAATTGGCCCTGCGTGACCACTCGGCTCCACCTCCTGCGCTGCGATTGGTCGGCGCGCGGAGCCCCGCCCCACTTTCCTGGAAAGTTCTTGGAAATCTGTCAAAGGTGTTTCCTTTAGCGGCCCTCGGCCGCAGACCAGGGAACCGACTCCCTCGCCTGCACCCCTCCCCGCCCGGCCGCACAGCCGGCGGTTCTAGGAAGACGTCGCTTCCGGGAAGGGCTGGGACACAGAGGACAAAAGATTAGGCTGCTCGCCCCGCCCTCCCGGCCCGCCCCACGCGCCCTCCCGGCCGGCCCGCGCCGCCACCTCTCAGTCCCGACCCGCCACTCGTGCGCCCCAGGAGCCTGCCTTGCGAGCGCGACCCGCGCCCACTGGCTCCCTCCAGCAGCCGCCGTCAGGCCAAGCCCCAGCTCCGGAGCAGCCGCTGCCGCTGACGTGACATGGTCCTCTGCGTTCAGGGGTAAGCGCGGCTCTCCGCCCCCGCCCAGCTCTGCGCCAGCACGCGGCAGAGTACTGGCCTCGTGCTAGCTGCCGAGCATTAAGAGGACTTGACCGGTCGGAAATGATCGAGCGCGGAAAGACCTCGAGAGAGACAACAGGGAAGGGTGACAACATCGTCACCACCTCTACTGGCACTGTGGGTAGGGAAACTGGGGGTTGGCTGGCGACAGGAGAAACAGGGTGGGCTAAGCGTGGGAGAACGTAGACGCCTCAGGCAGCGCGTCCTCCAAGGCGTGGCTCACCTGCCCAGCCGTCTGGGCCCGGAGCGCTCTATCCTAGCCTGACGGCCCAACAGTCTACTGTGACCTTGGGCCAGCCCCTGCCCTTCTCTGTCCTGTCATCCACTCTCCTGCCTCGGCTAGCAATTAGGCTGTTCTTAGGAAGCCAGCCTGAGATCCTTGCCTCTCCCCTGGTTGGCACCTGCTGAACAAGCAGCTGTTGGGAGAGCCTAGGTTTGGCCCAGTCCTGCCTGAGGTACCCCCACAATGTCCTCAGCCCTCCTCTCAGCCCAAAATGGGATCCCAATGTGAGAAGGACCTTGGCTCCTGCCTCCCTTCTCCAAGTTTCCCAAAATGTGGGGGTGGGGTGGGGACTGATAAGACAGAGTCTTGGCCTCAGCTGAGCATTCTTGGCACATTCCTTCTGGCCAGAGCCTCAGGATCCCCTTCAACCAAGGGTCTGATGCTCTCCAAACTGATCTGACAGGAGCTCAGAAGGTTCCAGGGAGAATGAAAGAAGATGTGAATGGGTGCTCCACAGCAGGGAAAGCAAGATTTTTAAGACCTACACACACACACAGCCACAGACCAGCTGGTGCCCTCCTGAAGTAGGGTGCAGGGATTCCCAATTGTAGGTATGTGTTGTCAGCTTTGCTGAGGGATCCCCGTTTAGGGCTAAGTTTGCCTCATTGGCTTATGTGCCCAGGCAGAACTCACAGGCTGGGCTCCACAGCAGGCACACACACATACTGGCCACCCACACCTGGAACATAACAGCCACCGCCACGACAATGACACCTCCCATACTCCTAGAAGGCTCCTGGGCCTGAGCTGAGCTCTGGGTTCCAGCAGGCAGGCCACCAATCAGTTCCTTGAAACTCAGCCTCTAGCTCCCCAACAGGGATTCCAGAGCTCCCGTAGTACAGCCAGGGTAGGGGTGGAAAAGTATTAGCAGGCTGTGGTATGCTAGGGTCTTATGGCCCCTTCTCTTGAGTGGTCACGGGCCCCTGATTTGTTAAAATCTTCTAAGAGTCACCTATAACCTACACTGTATAACTTACACTGTCAGATCTGGTTCCTCTGCCTGACTCCTGCTGCCAGTTCCTGCCCACCTCTTCCTGCCTCGTAAGCAGTACCTGTCAGTGTTTACCCATACCATCATCTCAGCCTGCGGTGCCTTCCCCGCTACTCCTTCCTTTAGCCTGGCAGACTCAGCTCAGGAACAGGCAGACCCTGACTTCCCCCTAACATTCTTTGCTTTTATGACTTTGGGTTATGAGTTCTCCTTTAGGGGAGCGCCCAGGGTTTCATTATTTGGTGTCTTGAGGCCAGCGGAGAACCAGACCCAAGACCCAAGGATTTATTTTGTGATGAGTGGGAGAGGACCAGCAGTCTCTTCCTTGGGAACCAGGGCCATGCCCCTCAATCCCAGGAAGCCCCAGGATCACCATGCTGGGTGGGCTTCCCCTAAAGGGAAGCTACTGCTCAGATTGGGGCCAGTTCAGCAACCCAACTCTAGCCATCTGAAAATATGGTGTGACCGAACCCCTCAGTGTCTGGGCTAGTAGGACCCCTCATTGAGGAGGAGGGGAAACTGACGTCTAGTGAAGAACAGTGTTTGCATAAGATCATAGTGCCTCGTAGGGCGGGCTCGTCAGGGTAGGATCTGGAATGTGGGATGAGTACCCTGCCCTTTGGTGGGAGCTCATATTTATGGGAGGTGGGACTTGTCAGTGCCTTTAGAGGCCACTGTCTATCCTATACCCTCAGCTGGGAGGAGGAGAGAACAGGATTGGTGTCTGACCTGTTTGGGGATATTATTCCAGGCCCTAAGCCCTGGCCAGTGTGGACCTAGGTCCCTCTGACAGATACTCCTATCTGTGGGGAGGTAGCATGTGACCAATCCCTCGGCTCAACCAGGACAAGTGCCATTTAATTGGCCCACCACTGCCAGGAGGGCACCACTGTGAAGCCTCTTTGTACTGGATCCTGTCAGTGTGGTGAGAACACCAACTGGCCACTGTGAGCTAGAGATGCCTATAGAGAATGAAGTGTATTTGGTTGGTGCAAAATAGAGAGATTACAGTTGACCCTTCGTATCTGCAGATGCGAAACCCATGGATATGGAGGGCCCAAAGTATTCACTGTACTATGCCATTCATATAAGGGACTTCAGCATCCGCAGATTTTCATATCCACGGGGGCTCCCAGAACCAATCCCCCGCGGATACTGAGGGATGACTGTAATTACTGTTTAATAAATGCAGGAGGGTGGAGAAGTCTCTTTCAGAAGAGGGTTCATATGTGGGGGAAGTAATCAAGGGGCCTTTTGTGATGACAAGTGGGAGTTGGGGTACTGGTCTCATTGAGCCCGTGGGTGGGCAGAGGGGAAACTAGGACTCATAGTGAGATAGACTGGCCAGAGGTCACATAGCCAGTCTGGGGCAGAGGGGATCTCTGGAAATGGGGAGAGCACAGGGCCTCCACTCAGCGCCCATCCACCTCTTTCTAGACCTTGTCCTTTGCTCGCTGTGGAGCAGATCGGGCAGCGGCCCCTGTGGCCCGAGTCCCTGGAGCTGCCCGAACCAGCTATGCAGCCTTTACCTGGTGGCGCCTTCCTGGAGGAAGAAGCAGAGGAGTCCCCAGCCCAGCCAGAGGGTGAGCCCAAGGTGCTGGACCCCGAAGAAGATCTGCTGTGCATAGCCAAGACCTTCTCGTACCTTCGGGAATCTGGTGAGTCTGAGGAGGGAGGCAGGACTTGTCCTGAAGTCTGATGGGGAAAGTTTAGCTCTGCCTGTTGTGTCTAATTTGAGAGGCATGGCTCTGGCCAGAAGAGTCTGATGGGAGAGAAGGGGTACAGCACTCCCCAGGGAGGTGTGAAGAGAGAGGCTGAGCCCTGCCTTGCCCTGGGTTGGTGCACCCAACTAATTTCCACTGTGACCAGTCTCTTAGCCCCCTCTCCACTTGCCTAGGCTGGTACTGGGGTTCCATTACGGCCAGTGAGGCCCGGCAACACCTGCAGAAGATGCCAGAGGGCACATTCCTAGTACGTGACAGCACCCACCCCAGCTACCTGTTCACATTGTCGGTCAAAACCACCCGTGGCCCCACCAACGTGCGCATTGAGTACGCCGACTCCAGCTTCCGCCTGGACTCCAACTGCCTGTCCAGGCCGCGCATCCTGGCCTTCCCAGATGTGGTCAGCCTTGTGCAGCACTATGTGGCCTCCTGTGCTGCAGATACCCGAAGTGACAGTCCTGACCTTGCAACCACCCAAGCCCTGCCTACCCCTAAGGAAGATGCACCTGGTGACCCAGCACTGCCTGCTACTGCTGTACACCTAAAACTGGTGCAGCCCTTTGTGCGCAAAAGCAGCACCCGAAGCCTGCAGCACCTATGCCGCCTCGTCATCAACCGTCTGGTGGCCGATGTGGACTGCCTGCCACTACCCCGGCGCATGGCTGACTACCTCCGACAGTACCCCTTCCAGCTCTGACCCAGCCAAGCAACCGCCTAGCCTCACCCAGCCAGACCCTGGAGGGGACACCGGCTCCAGCTGGACTTGGGCTCCCACTATCCCTCCTCCAGTCTTCCTGGTGCCACATGCATCTGGCAGCTGGACCAGGAAGGGTCTGCAGGAACAAGGCTGGGGGTGAGGGGTAGGGAGGAGTGTCACACGACTTGGAGGTCAGTGCCCTCAGCTCCCATGTGGCTCCATTGTGGTGGGCCATGTGACAGAAGAGGGGACTGGCAGGACCTCGTCTCACCCTGTGGGCTGGGCCCAGGCCCCAACTCACCTGCTGTGGCCTCCTGAACTGCGTAGACTTGGCCGGCCCTGGTTTCTCAGTCCACAGCGTGGGGCAGGCCCCCTCCTTTCAGCCAGCCTCTGTCTCAGGGGGGATGGCAGCCAGAGGAACTGAGGTTGACACTGACAGTCCCCTTCTGCGGGAGCAGGCCAGGCTGGGGGACGGCACAGTTATATAGTATTTATTTATTTATTCTCCTTGGGTTGGAGAGCCAACCCCACCTCTCTGCCTGAGCCCTGAGTGCTCCAGAGACCCCAGCCCTGCCTCAGCTTCTCTGGTTCCTCCCGGCCGAGAGCCTCTTCCTGAGATGTGTTGCTGGACCCAAGGCAGTCCTGGGTGTCCTGGCGCTGACCCACCCACCTGTGAAGGTGTCCACCCTCTTCTGCCTCCAGCCCTGTTTTGGGAGGATGGGTGAATAAACAAGAAAAGAGAGCCAAAGTGTTAGCGCCTTGCAGAACCTGCTACTCACCCCCTTGCAGGGCAGAGCCCTGTCTGCACAGAGCTGGTCTCGCTGGGGCACAGGCCCTGCATGAGTGTGGGTGCCGTGTCAGGGAGGGGCATGGTAGTTTGAGGACTGCCACTCCACCTCTGCTGGGTCTGCTTCCTGCCCAGGAAGGTGCCTGCACATGAAAGAGGGAAAGAAAAATACATATCTGATAAGACTTTATAAAATAATCGTTTCTAAAAAAAAAAAAACCCACAGTTTGGTAGTCATTTTTTTTTCACTGATTTTTCTGTAATGACAATAAAATTGTACCTTTCATTTATGGAGCCCTCAGTGGGGCCTCTTTTGAGTTGTACACAGTTTGTCCCCTTTGATCTTACTATCATTATCCCCCACTTTACATCTGGGTCAGCAGAGGCCCAGAGACCTATGTGGCAGAGCAGGCCCTGCTAGGGCACCCAGTAAAGAGTGGAGGGGATAGCAAGAAGCCTTTCTCCACTCATTCCCTATTTTCCCCTTGGAGGGTGGGATGCAGGAGATGAAGGCCAGTTGGATTGCCTGCAGGGTCACTGCCCAGTGTCAGGTGGGGGGTGGTGGCAGAGGAGCACCAGGTCGGAGAGATGTGTAAACAGGTGATGTCAATTAAAGGTTGAAAGTGGAGAATACTAGGCGGATGGGGACTGTGGACTACTCCTGGGGGCAGCGTCTTTTGAGATGAGGAGACCAACAATCAGAGAAGTCAGGGCCAGTCATTCCAAGGAGAAGGTACAGGGCATGCCAAGGCACCAGGGCGTGACTGGGAAGCTTATATTCCTGACCACAAGGAGGCCTGGGGAAGGGTCATTCTGTGCAGTGGGGTGGAACAGTTGAGTTGTGGATAGTGGCCAGTAAGCTGGCAGGGTCTGGCCTGGGATGGGGCTAATGGGGCTCTGGTCTAGGCTGATTTGAGTTTGGGTACTCTCTCACTCAGGGTCCTGCATATCAGAAGTAGGTGAAAAAGCAATTAAAATGAAAACGCTCTCCATCATCTGATGGTCTGCCTTTGGAGCACTTCAGCACCTGGAATCCCACTATGTCCTGAAATTTTCTGCACCTTTACTTGAGTAACTCACAGGAATGCTCCTGTGAACCTCATTCATAGCCTTTAACCCTTATTTTAGAAACAGTTCTAACCTTTCTATCTTCTTAGCCCTTAGACAATTAAAAGCTGCAGATTAGAAGAGGCAAATGTCGGCAGATTGAAGGCAGGAAGGTGTGAGGAGTGACAATGTTGATGACGAGGAGGAGGCAGGAAAGGATAAAAATCAAGAACTATGGGGCTTCCCTGGTGGTGCAGTGGTTGAGAGTCCGCCTGCTGATGCAGGGGACGCGGGTTCGTGCCCCGGTCAGGGAAGATCCCACATGCCGCGGAGCGGCTGGGCCCGTGAGCCATGGCCGCTAAGCCTGCGTGTCCGGAGCCTGTGCTCCGCAACGAGAGAGGCCACAACCGTGAGAGGCCGGCGTATCGCAAAAAAAATAAATCAAGAACTATGGAGGCACAGAACCTTGGGGGCACGGAGATAGTTGTGGGAAAGAATGGAGCTGATGTTGGGTGAGAGTGAACAAGAAGTGGGTGAGGGCTGTCTTTATCGGAGTGGTGCCCAGGCCCACGTGTCCCGCCTGGTGCCTTCTCCATTGCTGGCTGCAGGGCCCAACAAACACCTCCTCCAGGTCACCATGACCCTGCCAGGGATGTCTGCAGTTCCTCATTGTTTCAGCCTGGATCCCAGCCCCTTGATGATTCCCAAAATACCTGAGGTGACCCCTCTGTCTGCTCCACCCCGAGATCTGAGTCACCCAGTGGGTAGGTAGCAGACACAGAAGGGCCAAAGGCAGGCTCTTCACCACCTGGTGCCATGACCCAGACAGAAAGTGCTGGAGCAGGAGGAAGCCCTTCGTTGTCCACAGAGGGGACACGTCTCAGGGTGCCCACCGGGTGCTGGCAACAGACAAGGGCTTTGCACCTCATGTAATGCTCACCACAACCCTGGGAGTAGGTCTAAATATTACCCATATTTCACAGATGAGGAAACTGAGGCCCAGAGGGGACAAGGGACTGGCTGAGGAGGTGAGGCACAGAGCAGAGCTAAGCCTGAGGGGTCCTGACTGCCCACCTGCCCCTGCACTGCTACATGAGGTGGCGAGGACGGGCAGCTGGGGTAGGGGGGCAGCTTTCAGGTGAGTTGTTCTTGGATGCTGGCTTTATCCCCTCGCGTTCCTGCCTGCTAAGGTCTCTGGAGCCACTGGCCTGACCAAAAGGGTCCTATCCCATTCCCTGTCGCCTCAGCCCAAGCCAGGGTCCAGCTCTTGCCTGAGGAGGGCCTACCAGCTACTTCTGACCCCTGATACTTTTCTGCTTCAATTTTTTCTTTTTTTTTTTGGCTGCACTGCGCAGCATGTGGGATCTTAGTTCCCCAACTAGGGATCGAACCCACAGCCCCTGCCTTGGAAGCATGGAGTCTTAACCACTGGACTGCCAGGGAAGTCCCAATCTGCTTCAATCTTATTTTCATGTTTCCCTACCAAGGGAGTGAGTGACACCTACTTAGAACAGGATCAGTGGAGAGCATGTCATCGGGCCCTAGACCCAAGTCAGAGACCCAGCCTAACAGATGCTGAAAATCCTCTGGTCACTGCAATCACCCCTGGGTGGCTCTGGGCTGGTGAAAGGAGCACACCTACCAGCACTGACCGAGGAGGAAGAAAGGAGCTGACTGGAGGGCGCACAGGACCCTGCACAACATACAAACAATAACTGATGGTAACCCTTTACCAATTAAGTCCTTCACCAGCACACATGCTCTTTGGGCACAAACTGGGCCAGACTCCATTCGGGCCCTGGGGACACAGCAGGGAATAAGATGGACACACTCCCCATCCTTGTGGGACTCATGGGCTGGTACGCGAGAGATAAACAAGTAAACAAATGGGCACTCAGGATGAGTTTTGAGAGTGAAAGGAAAGCAAAGCAGGAGGCAGGGAAGAAAGTACTTTGGGTGTGGGGACACTGCTGCCGATGAGAGGGTCGGGGAAAGCTCTGGAGCAGGGTGGCACTGAGCCTGGACACCCGAGCAAAGAGCAGGAACTGGCTATGCAGACAACTTAGAGAAAGGACATCCCAGGTGGAAGGAGCTCCAGTGCAATGGCCCTGAGGCAGGAACAAACCTGGTGTGACCAGAAGATGGCTGGCTGCCCAGGAGGGCTGAGGAGACAGAGCGCGGGTGGAGAGGGCAGAGGGTGCACATGCATTGTGCTCTGGTGCGGTGGAGCGCCCCTTCAGTGTTTAGCAGGGACAAGCTATGATCCAGTGCTCAGTTCTAAGGAGTGAACCTGTCAGCTGGGGGTGGGGGGGATGGCCCCACAAGGGCCTGGGGGCCAGAGGCCAGAAAGAGGTTGAGAGGTATGGGATATGGAGGAGTAGGGTGTGGTGGAGAGCAGAGGAGGCGAGGTGATCCTGGGTGCGGTTCGTGCCCCATTAAGTTCTCACTGCAGCCTCGCACACCAGCAGAGGTTGTCCCCATTTACAGCAGAAGAGGTAAGACTCAGAGAGAGGTGGTGGCTTTTTCAGGGTCACACAACTTGTGAGGGGCAGAGCCGGGGTTCAAACCCTGACTCAAGACCTCGTTTGTATAAACTGCTGCTCTGCTCTGCCTCCCAGGGGCTGGCATGCTAAGGCCTTGGCCCTCACAAGGCACTGGGGACATGTAGAAGGCCAGGCAATTCAGAAAGGCTTTTTGGAGGAGGGGGGCTGGGGACTGCCCTAGAGGATTCTGTCAGGCCACGGGGAAGTGGGTTTGCAGATTGATCCTACGTGGTGTCCATCCTCGGACTCATGATGCCCCTCTGGAAAAATTCTGGGACAGAGATGCCACTAGGCCATTCAGGTTTCTCTTGTCAGTCAATGAGAGGTCTTGCTGGGAGGCTTCACCCGTGATCACCGAATGTCCTAACACGCCCTGAACCATCGGGGTCTCTGCACCTGGGCCCAGCTTCTAATCTGCCAACTGAGCAAATCTTGCTGGATCAAGGGCAAACATGGGTCTGAACAGGTCTGGGGACATGGCCAGGCTGGCTCCACTCTCAGATGGGAACCCTCCCACCCAGCACAGCTCCACAGTGAAACAGAGGAGCCAAGAGCCTGAAATAAGTCCTAATCAAGAAGGCAGGAGGATTCTGGGACCTCACAAAGGCCCTCTTTCTTCAGGAGAAGTGGAGCCTGCACAGGCCTGGGCAGACCTTTCATACCAACCTGTTAGACCAGTTTTAATATAAAGCAGGTTGGAACTTTGCCAGAAATTCAACAGCCTCTCCTGGTGAAGGTGTTCTCCCCACGCCAACTGCAGGGTATGGGCCCCCTCCCCAGCTTAGGCAGGCTGCACAGCCACCACCCAAGGGGCCATTCCAATGGTCACTCTGGGGCAGCAGGCTGGGGCTCCCACATCTGATACTTAAGACAGGAGGTCCCTGGAGGTTTACTCCTGGCTAGCATTTCCCTCCAACCCTGGTTTTACCCCCACCTCCCCTCCAGTCTGGATTACGTGCTGTACACTTGGTTTGGGGGGCCTGTTTCCCTCAACCTCACTGAACCTCATAAGATTCCTTAGCTATGAAATGG